TGATGACAGAAATACCCAGTTCCATCTCTCTTTTAGACGGTTCTCTCCCTCCTCTGTTTCAGTGCAGTATACATTATTGAACCCATCTTACTCAGTCTCTCCCCAACCCCAAGGACAGTCCCATTCTACAACAGTGGCATCATGTAATATTTGTCCTTTTGTGACTGGGATATTTCACTCAGCATAATGTTCTCCAGAGTCAACCATTTTGAATAATATTGCATGAGTTCCTTGTTTTTTAATGCAGCATAGTATTCATTGTGCGAATATACCACAGCTTCTCTAGCCATTCGTTTGTTGATGGGCACTTAGGTTTATGAGTCATACTTAACCCAACGTCCCCTGACAACAAGCATGCTGATTGGTTGTCTGGATCTTTCAGCTTCTAGCTGATCCTCCCGCATCCCTCGTCCATGACAGTTATCTTTGTTTTGTCCTTTGTTCTGTTTAACAAAAGAGTCTATAAGCAACCCAAGACTCATTGCCTTTGAGTCTATTCTAACTCATTGCAAATTTCCATCAGGTCTCTAAGGCTGTCAATCCTGCGGGAGGAACCTGTCTCACCACTGTGTTAAAAGAGAGCTTAAAAAAACTAAAACAAAACCATGTTAGCAATGCTGCAAAATCGTTTCTAAGTTCCTAGGGAAGAAATAAGTTAAGACCTTTACATTTTTTTGTGGATCAGACTTTTACTATTAATTTTGTACCCATGGATAAGAGAAATAAAATTAAGATGACTATTTTTTATTTCGGAGGACAGAAGGAGAATTGATGCCTTTGAGCTGTGGTGCTGGAGAAGAGTATTGAGAATACCATGGACTGCTAGGAAAACAAACAGATTTGTCCTGGAGAGGGTTAAACCAGTTGGCTCCTTGGAGGCAAGGATTCTGAGGCTCTGTCTAACTTACTTTGGACATGTTGTGAGGAGAGACCGGTCCTTAGAGAGGGACATCATGCTTGGGAGGGTGGAAGGATGACGCAGGAGAGGAAGGCCCTCTATGAGGTGGATTGATTCAGTGACTGGGATAATTGGGATGGGAGTGTCAGAGACAGTGCGATTGGCACAGGACAGAGCGGAGTTTAGGGCTGTTGTACATAGGGTCGCTATGAGTCGCAGGCAACTCGACGGCACATAACAACAACAAACAACATTTTTTATTTCACATATGTGAGTGTTTGTGTGTGTGCACGTGTGCATGCATGTTGTGTGTATTGGGGATCTGTGTGTGTGTCCCAAATACTTAGAAGGAGCCAGCAGGAAAGGAGAGAGGATCAGAGGGGACTGTCGAGGAGGGCCTTGTCAGAGCGCCTCTCTCGCGGGGCCTCCCAGCCAGCATCACTGAGCTGGATAAACTCTGCTTCTAATTCCCTTTGAGCCTTGGACTACTTAGCTGTAAGCTGAGGGCAATAGCAGGACCTTTGCACTGTAGCATTGCTAAGAGAGCTAAGTCAGCTAATGGTGAACAAGGCTCTCTGCTAACATAGGGCATTAAGTGTTGATTTGCTAACTGAAAGACCAGCAGTTTGAATCTACCAGTTGCTCTGCACGAGAAAGATGAGACGTTATCTTCCCACAAAGGTTAAACCTCAGAAACCCTATGGGGCCCTTCTGCTCTGTCGCATGTGGTCTCTATGAGTTGGAATTGACTCAACGGTGGTGGATATTTTTTAGAGAGGTGGTAATGTTCATAATAAGCGCAGCCTTGCTTTGTAGGCAATTGTGCATTTCATGTAGCACTGTTAACCAAAAGGTCAGGTCTTCAAGCCCCCCAGCTGCTCTGCAGGAGAAATAGGGGTAGTCTCTTTCCATTAAGGTTTGCTGTCTTGGAAACTTGATGGAGAGTCAACAGGAATCAGAAACCACTTGATGGCAGCAGACTTGGCTTATTTGGGCAAAAATAAATTGAGGACTAGATTGTCAGATTGTTCAGGTACACAGGTGTCAAAAGAGCAAGGGCTGCTTGGAGATGGCCATACCTAAACCTTTACCAATTTCACAAAGGGGAATTGTCCCCATCAACAGCATGAACCAATTCCACGAGGTCAGACATGCCTCCATAACCCCTGCATCTCTTTACATTCATCCTAATACCCAATCTTACTGCTTTACTGGGTTCCAACTCTAATACAATAGCTCACAGACAACACAGAACCAGGAGGGGGAAGTCAAGTAATGGATTGCAGAAAACAGTCAGTCAGTCAGGATGGTTTCTGATTTGTGCTCACAGGTAAGTCAGCTTTGAGCCTGATGGCTTTTAGCCGTTGTTACAAAGTTCTCAGTCCTGCCAATTATGAACACACGCACACACACACACACACACACACACACACACACACACACACATTCTCCTCCAGTTGTCCAACAAACTTGGATAAAAGGCTCTTAGCTCTGGTTCTGTGGGGGTAGCAGTCCCAAGGTCTGTTCCCTCTCATGTTGGGTCTCTGTCCTCTGCTTCATCTGCTGTTGCTGTGGCTCTGATTCTGAAAGATGGTGCATTCTCTTCTTTGTTCTTTCCTCATAGTGAGGTTCCTCCAATTCTGCTGCTGGTTTGACTCAATTTAATGCCAAGACTAGCCAATCTACTTGTGGATAGGCTAGCACACCCTATTCACATATTCCCATATGTTCACATGTCAAAGTAAAAGTCAATGGCTAGGAAAGCCATTTTTTAACAATAAACTCAACAGGAAATTTCACACAGACCCCTGACCGATGTGGAACACACCCAGAAAGAGATAAAGATACAGAGTGAAGACACAGTGATCATAACATTTCAAGCCTCATGTGTGTGTACCTATCCATGAAGGCATTTAAAGTTAATTTTGTGTTAAGATTTCATCTACCAAAAGGTAATTTACTCTTTGGCCCCGTTGGCTGAGATGGTAACCCTAAACCTTTGTCGTCTTCTGAGTAATTGTGATGTACAAATGAGTACGAATGTATGAACGAGTGGGGACAACCTCGGCCACAGAGACCACCACCTGGTAGCCTGATGTCAGCTGGTCTCCCAAAGAGGGACATGATTTAACCAATCACTTTAAGACTGGTGTTGTTGAGCGCTCTTGAGTCCATTTTTCTCATGTCCACCTTACAAAATGGAGCAGAACAGACTGCTCCTTCTTTTCTCTAAGGAGCCAAGGATGAGTTTGAGCCACCAACCTTTTCATTAACCGTGCAGGACTTAACCACTTCTTCACTGGGGTTCTATGTGGGCTGCTGTAAGTCACAATTGACTGTTGGCAATTGGTTTCTTTAATATTATAGTTGTGTACCATCAATTCAGAACTGACCCATAGCTGACCCTTCATGGGTTGGCAGAGACAGTAAATCTCACAGGAGGAGACTGCCTTCTTTTCTGGAGGAGCTGGTGGATGTGAGTTGCATGCTTTGGGGTTACCAGTACACCTCCTTACCACTAAGCCACCAGAGCTCCTTATCTTAAGATAACCGATGGTTAATCTCCTCCTTAAGATCTCATTGCAATTAATACTAGACTTTCTATGTTACTTTCTCAAAATTAAGGTCTCCTTGTACACATATAAGAGAGCTCTGGTCTGGAGGGGCTTGTGCTGCCAACTCAAAGGCCATGTCCCTGTGGGAGTTCAAACCCATCAATGATTCTGCGGGATCAGGATGGACAATTTCCTTTCCTCAGATTTACAGCCTTAGAAACCAAACGGAGGGTTAGCCACGGTTCCGACTTAACGGCCATGAGTGAGTGTATGCATAGTGTAACTTCTTGAATAAGTCCTGTATGTTTTAATTTTATTGTTCTTTGATTTTTATTTTTTACTCTGGTATCTGAAAAATATCCAGAACTCTGACCAAAGGAAAATGTTTTATTGGGTAGTTATTTTGTACTGTGTTATTTTTGTGTCTGATTTGTAGTAAATACAACAGAAGAGAGTTGACATGCTAAGTAGGGTTCAACTACTGGTCTCTCTCCATTCAAAGCAAAGAAGAATGACAAGAATCAAAGATGCGTGGAAACAATTAGGCCAAAGGACTAATGAACATGCAAAGGTTTCATCACCCTGAGGGATAAAGAACTAGAAGGTGCCTATCCACCGTTGCTGAAAGGGATCACTTATGAGGTTGGAGAGAAAGGGAAAAAATGAGGACCAAAATTAAAAATAAAAACGAAGACCAGACTTTCTGATCTCATAGGGACTGCAGCTAACCTTTGGACTATGGCTCTGAAATATCTTTCAGACATAGAACTCTACTCACTCCTGTGGCTCACATTTTAGCTAAAACAACAAGCTTAATTAAGGAAGCATTGCACTCCTCAGAACATTGTAACCTTAACTTTATGAGATCAAAAGGGCAAGATTTCCCCAAAGACAAAGCTCAGAAGCTTGGACAGGACAGGAAAGCACAACACAGGGAAGAAGTGGGAAGAGTGATGTTTCGTTTGGGGAATAAAAATCAACTTTAGGAAACAAATTGTGTGTGAATTGATGAAAGGAAAAGAAATTTCTTGTTTAAACTTTCCATCAAATTGCTTTGTTTCTTAGGGAAACGGAGTTGCTATTTAATTCACCACATAGAATTGAGATAATCAAGAAAAGAATCTCAAATAACGTTTATGAGTTAAATAAAAACCGAGGAAGAATTTTACTTTTGCTTTTCAAAGAGAAGAGTGAACTTTGAGGAGGTTGGGCAGGGAGAAAAGTGCAACAATGAATGAATGGAAATCCAAAGTGTCTGTAAACTTTCATTAAAATTAATAAGAAAAAATTAAAAAACCAAAACAAAACAAAACAAAAACCCGAGGAAGTATATCACGCTTGGTTAAAACCTACATCACGCCTGCATCTCTCTGTGCCAAAGGCTGTCAGTGAAGAGTCCCTATGATTGGGTGGAAGTGGGCACTGCGGAACCTTTCTTTTGGAGTATGGTTTCCTCCACGTGCCCGGCAGGAGATGCGTCAAGGACCGCGCCGGCGCAGTGGGTGATTGGTCGCCAGGGTAACGCACGCGGGACAGGTGTCACCACCATGAGCGTCCGGGTTGCGCGGTCCGCGTGGGCCGGGGTCCGGGCCCGGGGCGCCGGCTGTTTCCGCGGCGCCTCGAGCCTCCCGGTGCCTCCGCGGGGCTCCGCGGGGGTGGCCGAGCTGCTGCGGGACGCGGCGGCGGCAGCAGATGAGCCCTGGGAGGCAGCGGCGCGGCGGACGCCCGGCCAGTGCTCGGTGCTGCTCTTTCCGGGCCAGGGCAGCCAGGCGGTGGGCATGGGCCGCGGCCTGCTCCGCTACCCGCGCGTCCGCGAGCTCTACGCCGCCGCCCAGCGCGTGCTGGGCTACGATCTGCTGGGGCTGAGCATGCACGGGCCGCGGGAGGCGCTGGACCGCACCGTGCACTGCCAGCCCGCCGTCTTCGTGGCCTCGCTGGCCGCCGTGGAGAAGCTGCACCACCTGCAGCCCGAGGTGAGGCCGAGGCTGGGCTGCCAAATCCTAGGGCCGTCGACTGCCCAGTAAAAGGAGACAGACAGCAGAAGAGGAGTAAAACTCAGAACTTAACACTGATTGCCTTGGAGTCGAACCTAACCTATAGCCGACCCTCCCTTGGATTCAGGACCGACCTATAGACGACTTTCCCTTGGATTCGGGACCGACCTATAGCTGACCCTCCAGTGGGTTTTCAGAGCCTAAATAGCACGGGAGGAAATTGCCTTTCTGAGCTGGAGAATCTATAGAGTTCTGGGTTGAAGTCACTGCCCCCCACGCACACACACACCTCCCCCCAGGATTAAGCTGGGCTTGTCCTCTCCCATCCTCTTGGGACATTCCTCCTCAGTAACAGGACTGGACTTGGTGACTGATCTGGGACACTGCTGTCTGGGTCTCCTAGCTGGAGATTAGCAGGCCCTGGCTCTCTGAGCCCCTGAACCCCCTTGTAATGCTCAGGTGCAGGGCCTCTAACTTCGCTCGCCCAGTGGTCTCTGCCTCATGTCCTGCATCTGTCCCCCTTTCCCAGGTCATCGAGAACTGTGTGGCGGCAGCTGGATTCAGCGTGGGGGAGTTTGCAGCCCTGGTGTTTGCAGGGGCCATGGAGTTTTCAGAAGGTACCCAGGGAAGTTAGGTTCCATGCAGGGCAGAAGGTGCCCAGGGAAGAGTTAGGTTCTGTGCAGGGAGGAAGTCTCAGGTATCTTAGGGACACAGGCCACTGCTGGAAGTAAGTGGATCCTTTCAGGGGTGATTAGAAGGATGCAAACACAGAGACTGGCATCAGGACCCTGAGACTGGACACTTCTTAAATCAATTTCCTTTTGGGATTTTCTCATGAACTCTGCTGCTTGGCCCTTTTTCCAGGCACAGCCCCATGCCTGGCACATGGTAGGTGCTGGGTTGATAGCTGTTGAACAAAAAGTGGGTAAATGAACAACACTTACTATTGAGACAAGCCAATCTCACTTTTTGAGAGTTTGCTTGTTGTTGTTAGGTGCCTTCGAGTAGTAGACGACTCATAGCGAAAGACCGGAGCACTGTTCATAGAGTTTCCGGAGGCAAGCTGTTAATGGAAGTGGATGCCACTCTTGCTTCCAAGCTTGTTTTAATCGGGAAGCACCACCAAACACCAGGGGTGACCATTATCGCATTTGACACATCAGTGTCACAGTGTTCAGCATCACAGCAACCACAAGTTACCTCTGTACAGCAATGCACAGACTAGAGCTATACCACCTAGAATAATGTGTGACAAAAAACCCAGTTTGAACCAGACCTGAGGGCCGCATATGAAAATGACCCACCTTGGGCTTGGTAGCATAACTTTTTGTCAATGTAGCGCTCTCTGTGTTGTCATTGTTAATTGTTGTTAGGTGCCTTCGAGTCGGAGACAACTCACAGCGACCCTAAAGTTAAAATAACATTATGTTGTTGTTTGGTGCTGTCACATCAACTACAGCTCATAGCAATCCGGTGGACCACACCTCTCAGCCTCGCCCTGGCCTGTCCTCACAATCGCTGTCATCGTGCTAGGCCCTTATTGGTAGTCACTGCATTGATCTGTCTCATTGGTGATTTCTTCTTTCATCACCCCTCTACCTTTCCTGCCAAAGTCTCTCTCTCCACGGACTGATACCTCCTGAAAATACATCCTCTGCCCCCTGGCTGGCTGACCTCGCCGGTGGCACTGATGCTCAGCGAAGTCTTTGCTGGGGACTGTCTTTTGCATTGGAGTATGGGGTGCAGCGTCCCTGGCCTCTGCCTACAGTTGTCAATGTGACAACCGGAAAAAGATCTCTGGATACGGTCCCCTGTTCTTAGACGGACAAAATCATCCCATGGAGAGCCACTGCCCAACTCCAAGTCAGCTTTAGCACAGGATCCGCTTCAGGATTTGGGTTGTATGTTGCATTTGGTTTTGGCTTTTTAAACACGTCAATTTTTGTTGGTAGACATTCTGTTTTCATTCTTGCTGTTGTGCACCATCAAGTTGGACCTGAGCTGTAACTGACCCTCCAGCAGGTTTTCAGAGGCGGTTCATCTCTTGTGAGGGGATTGCCCATCCTTCTCCCATGAAACAGCTGGTGGGTTTGAACCACATATCTTTGGGTTAGCTGCGCATCTCCTTACCACTAGGCCGCCCAAGCTCCCTTGTCATTTCACAAGATGCCCTTATGCATCACCCTGTGTGTGTTAGGAGAGGGTGTTTGGGATAAGTAGAAACAGCTGGCAGGTTGCTGTGACACCCCCCACAAGCCCCGTCCCCACCTCTAAAAAAAAAAGAAAAAAATTCCTTCATTAGTATACAATTTCCCTTGCTTTCCTCCCCACCCCCCACCCCCCGTGCAGCTGTGTGGACGGTGAGGTCTGCCTCTGGGATCCTGGCTGCCCTCACCCATCCTGAGCCCAGATTTTCCCAATGTCTTTCTCTCTGGACAGGTCTGTATGCAGTGAAGGTCCGGGCGGAGGCCATGCAGGAGGCCTCAGAAGCGGTGCCCAGCGGGATGCTGTCTGTCCTTGGCACACCCAAAACCAAGTTCGGCCTGGCCTGTCAGGAAGCCCGGGAGCACTGCAGGTCACTGGGCCTTGAGAACCCAGTGTGCGAAGTGGCCAACTACCTCTTTCCTGACTGCAAGGTCATTTCTGGACACCTCGAGGTGGGTGCTGACGGGATCAGACCTCATCTGAGGAGCTTGGGAGTTGGACAGTGCAGAGAGGGGATTGGCCCAGACAGGAGGCCGCAGGTGGGGGTGGCTGCGGGGTGCTCTTCTCTGAGAGTGTCATGGACAGCCCTGCCGTGGTCTGGGATACTGTCCTCTCCATACACTGGCCAACTTAGAGGGCAAATCATGCAGTCCTTGTCCTGTGGGGTAGAGACTGAGGCAGAACCAGTTCCTCGCTGTGGAGCGTCCTGGGAGCCTCAGAGTCCCAGGGTGGTGGTTTCCTGAGAGGGGGAGCAGCTGGGTTCCCTGTCTGACCCTGCTTTCTTGTAGGGGTCTCTGGTGGCGCATCTCCTAGCCAGTTGTGCTGCCATCCCAGAGGCAAGCATCTCGGGTGGTTTGAATCCACCCGCTGCTGCGAGGGAGAAAGATGGGCGCTCTTGACCCGTGACAGTTACAGCCTTGGAAACCCAGGAGGTTGCGAGGCAGGACCTGTGCCACAGCAGGAGTTTGAGGGCGGGGTGGTTTTTCTTTAAATTTCCCTTTGTCTTCAGCGTCAGCATTCGCTCAAGTTTGTATGTTCATCTTCTTTTCTTCACTGCCGCTCCACACACCATTTATTGGCCCCTCAGCAGTCAGGAAATCGAAAGACGAATGGCATTGGAAAAATGTGCTGTCAGGGACCTCTCCACGTACTGAAGAGCAACAGTTTCCATCTAGAGACTAAGGTGCGCCTAATCCAGGTCATGGTTTTCACAATTGTTAATACTTCAAAGAGCTGGACTGTGACGAAGGATGACAGAAGAAGAGATGCCTTTGGGTTGTGGTGCTGGAGAAGAGTCTTGAACATACCATGGACTGTCAAGAAAACAAAATAGGTCTGTCTTGAAGAGGGTGAATCCAAGTCTGTCCTTGGAGGCTAGGATTTTGAAGCTCCATCTCACATACTTTGGGCATGTGGCCAGGAGAGACTGGTCCTTGGAGAAGGACAACATGCTTGGAAGGGTGGAGGGACAGTGCAGGAGAGAATGACCCTCGATAAGATGTATTGATACACTGATAGATTAACTGGCACAGTGGGTTTTGGTGGGTTAGGGTTAGTGAGAGGGGCTCAGGACAGGGCAGGCTTTAGAGCTGCTGTTCATAGGATCACTATGGGTCGCAGGTGACTCAATGGCACATAACAGAAACCACCTGTATATGGGTCCTCTGTTCCTTCTGGGTACCGGGCCGCTTCTCAGTAATGGAGCTCCCTCCTCTATCAGGTCCCTCCTCTGAAAAGGCCCCTCCTCTATGCAGGCCCTTGTCTGTAATGGATGCGTCCTCTACAGTACACTCCTTATCCATACCAGCCCCTCCTGTAATAGCGCCTCTCCTCTGTAACAGGCCTTTTCTGTACTGGGCGAGTCCTCTGTAACAGATGCCATGCCCTGCTGGTGTTGCCTATTGCAGAGGGGCCGTGACAGAAAGGGGACCTGGTACCAAGTAGGGTCCAGTATACAGCAGGAGGCCCGTGACAGAGAAGGAAGCCTCCGGTGGAAGGGGCTTCTGTCAAGAGGCTGGCCTTGTGCCAGCTGGGGAACCTTGAGGGTACCTGTGGGAAGGTGGCCCGCACAGTACAGGGGCCTCCTTCACCAGCCAGCTCCATGCACAGTGGCCAGCTTCTCTCACTAGAGGAGGACCTGGGCCAGAAGGACACGTGCTGTGGTTAGGGCGGGAATGTACATCCATGTCCGTCTGATGCTGGTCTTCCCTCCACCCAAACCTGGAAGGCCTCACCTGTGTACAGTGGTCCTTGCTCCCAGTCAGTGCAGCCTCCAGGCTCCTCAGACAGGTCTGAAGTAAGAGCAGTCCCAGAGGACCCATCCTAACAGCCTCCGGGGGAAGCCGGCTGTCCCAGGCTGGGTTCCCTACAGAGCTAGACCAGCGAAGCATGTAGACATACAGAGACTGACTCCAGGGAGTGGCTTACACAGTTGTGGACATGAGAGAGGTGCAGGATCGAGGGACCAGCGCTTTCCTGGATCATCGGAAGATCCAGTGCTGGCCATGCCCTTCCCCCCCTCCCCCAGAGAGGCCCCTTCCATCCGACTGGCTGCTGACATCAGCTCACAGACTGAGGAGTGAAGACATAAAAGACGCCATCAGGAGCTCCCAGGCCTGCGGACGTCATGTCGAAGTGACAGCTCCTGGAACACACAGGCTCGTCCTTTCTGACCTTGTCCTCACCAGAGACCAGGCAAATCACTCAGGTGGGGCTGGGGGTCCCCAGAGCAGGGGCCACAGTGAGAGCAGACCCTCCTCAACAGTAGATGCATCTGGGCTCCTTGTCTGCCTGGATCAGTGTCAGTGTGAGTCTACCTCTCAGAACCTGCTGGAGCCCAATTCCAGCCTTGGTACCTGTCACCCTCACTTGGACCATGAACTCTTTTGAGTCCTGAAACCGCTAAGAAAATCAGAAGGTTCACAGGGAGGGGCCAGCCACACATGGTGGCGTCAGGACAGTGTGGACGGGTGAGCTGGATCCCAACCCCTGGGCATGTCCCTCAGTGAGCTCTGGTGTCTTAGTGGGGTGGAGATAACGCCGTCAACCTAAAAATACCAGGTTCGAATCTGCCAGCAGCTCTCAGAAAGGTGACAATTTTTAGCCCCTGAAAACCACTAAGAGGGTCAGCTGCGAGTCAGTTCTGACTTGATGGTACATAACAGTAACGACGTAACACCCACCCTGTAAGCTAGCTCTTCACTGTGCTGTGTCGGTCAGGGAGTTTCCTGTGGCTTACAGGGACGGAAGGAGGCTCCGAGGTCATGCAGCTGCTTAAGGCCACCCCAAGTCTGACCCAAGTCTGTCTCCGTTGCAGGCGCTACAGTTTCTGCAGAAGAACTCCTCCAAGTACCACTTCAGGCGCTGCAGGATGCTGCCGGTGAGCGGGGCCTTCCACACCCGCCTGATGGAGCCAGCTGCCGAGCCCCTGGCCCAGGTGCTGAAGGCCATCAGCATCAAGGACCCCCTGGTGTCTGTCTACTCCAACGTCCACGGGAAGAAGTACATGCACCCAGAACACATCCAGAAACTGCTGGCGAAGCAGCTCATGTCCCCTGTCAAGTGGGAGCAGATCATGCATGCCATATACGAGAGGAGGAAGGGCACGGACTTCCCCAGAACCTTCGAGGTGGGCCCAGGGAGGCAGCTGGGGGCCATCCTGAAAAGCTGCAACCTGCAGGCCTGGAAGTCCTACAGCCACGTGGAAGTGACGGAGGCTGACGTGGCCCAGGACCCGTAGTGGTCCCTGCATCTGCTCGGGGCTTCAGTGAGGCGGCGGCTGCAGGGGGCAGCTGTGCAGAGGGGCCACTGTGCCTGCTCGGCCCAAACACATGGCTGGAAGGGGTGCAGGGTCGGGTTACGGCTTCCTGACCAGGGACTCTGTTCCCCTGGAGACACTAGCAGATGCGGTGTGTCCGCAATGGCTCTGAAGGAAGGATTTGCACAATCTCTGTCCACATCTTTGAGGATCTGCGCCTTAGACAAACCTCTCACGGGCTCCGCTTCCTCCACGGGGAAAACGGGCTGACACCGTGCTCAGAGGATCCAGCGTGGGGGTTTGCAGAGGCCCCTGGCCCCGTCACAGGACAGGACAGAGCCAGGACAAAGCTTTTTTTTTCTGTTGCTGCCGGTGGCGTGCTGCTCACCCAGGGTGAACGCTCAGCCCTTTGTCAGGGAGTTGGGAACTGAGGACTCCTGATGGCTGGGAGATGCCGGATGCCACCAAGCTTGGCATGGCCTGGTTGGAGAGGCCCAGGGAGGGCCCTGAGCCGGGACCCCCTCTCAGGGTTCATACCTGCCACAGGTGCCAGAGGCCAAGGTGCCCACGCATCGCCATTAAATGAGTGACGGAGCTGCTATGGGTTTGCTTGGTTTGATGGTGGGGACACTTGGGTGATGGCTGTTCTCAGTGTGCACATCCTTTGGGGTGACGTGAGGAAAAGAACTACTCGAACATCCACAAGGAATTTGCTTTTATTTTGGTGTTACCATCGAGTTGGATCTGACTGGCACGAGGAGTTTGCCCCTCCTTCTCCAGCACAGCATCTGGTGGATTTGAACTGTGCACCTTTGAGATTGCAGGGCACCTTCTTGTCACTAGGCCACCAGAGTTCCCTAGAATTCGCTTTTCTAACACTCTGTCCTGGGTTCACGTGACCGCTCACTGAGGGCTGCAGGGACCCAGCAGGGCTGCTCCACCCCAGGTTCTGCCTTCACCTTCGGGCCGCAGCAGGCTCCTGGGAACACGCCTCGAGCTGGAATCGTCAGAGGCTTCCCTTGGGGGGGACCGGAGCCCCTGCCCTGAGCCATGAGGAGGGGCAGAAGTGGTGGGCAGTGTGCGGGACCGTTAATGTGGGATGAATGTGGGGATCTGCCGTCCTGTTTGTGACATGTATGTAGCCCCCAGGAGGAGGACACCCAAGGTGCAGAGGCCGGGTCCACCTCCCAGCACAGATGGGTTGAGAAGGGGCCCCCACCCCCAGTCCCCACAGATGCTGCATCTGGAAGGGGAGGGACCAGGCAGCAAGCGAGGGGTGCACGCTGGAAGAAGGAGGTGCAGACAGCTCAGCCCTGCCTGACCTGTTCAGCCCTGCCCCCCCAAGTGTCCCTGCTCTCTGAGAGGACAGAGAAATGCTCTCTGCATTGGATGGTGGTGGTCAGGGCACCCTGCTGGACTGGGAGACTGTTAAATGCTCATCTCTGGGCCTCAGTTTCTGTGGTGCAGTGAGCGGTCCATTGTCCCAGCCCAGGGAACAGCAGCGCATCAGCTCAGAAGCATCGATGCTATGGGGGGGCGTGCTGAGGACACATCTAGGTTTTCAGGTTAGCTGTGGCCTGGCTGTCCCCGCCTCTCCATCGGGCAGAGCTGCTGGTGGCCTCAGGCACCATGGCCGCTGCTCACAAGCCCTTCGGGGTTGGCCCCATCCTCTGAATGCCCACACTCAGGATGGGCCCCCTAAGAGGCCCTCACTATCCCACCACAGCCCGCCTCATCACTTTCTCCCCTCCAGGGAGCCTTGGTGGTGTAGTGGGCTAAATGTTGGGCCACTGACTGAAAGAGGTCAGCAGTTCAAGTCCACCAGCCACTCTGGAGGAAACGTGGCAGTCTGCTTCCATGGGTTCCAGCACTGGAGACCACCAGAGCATTAAACTCTGGAGGGTCCCTGGGAGCTAGGAGGCACAGTGGCGGTGGTCTGCAGAGCAGGCCTCATAGTGCACTAGCCTGGCTTGCGTGCGTGGCTGGAGCACGAGCCCAGGGGACAGTGGGTCACCAGCAAGGAGGGGAGGAGGCTGTCCCCATGTTCACACGGGGTCTGCTGGGAGGACATGATCACAGATGCTGTCCTGGCCTTTTCTTCTCCCGGCCAGCTCTCTACGGGGCCTCCTACTCCCAGTGGCCTTGTGCAGCCCCTCCTCACTGCCACCTCCTCTCCAGACCAGCTCCAGTACACCACCTTGTAGCACGGAGCTCTCAGCACCCCACTATGAGGCGGCCGGGTCCCCAATTACAGCAGGAACATACAGGCCACACAAAGGAGCAATCTCTCTGATGGTAGAGTTAGGCACCAGGGCAGGGGACATGGAAACACTGCAAACCCACTTACGTCACATGGTAGGTTAGGGCCAAACTCCCAGCCATGTGACACAGACATCAGGGAGCCTGTCCCGCTCCCCAGGTGAGGAGAATGGGTGGGACCAACGCTGAGGGCTGAATCCAGAGAAGACCAGAAACAGCTCAAAACCAACATTTATTTGGCTCTCCCCACCCCACCAAAATCCACTCCGGCAGATGATCTTCTGTGGTGGGGACCATGGACACGGGGGTGTGACCAGCACTCCCCCCGCTGCCCACCACGACGACCAATCTTGGAGAGGAGGGTCCTTCTCAGGACAGGCAGGAGCCGGCCGCTAACCAGTAACGACCACAGAGGTATGAGGAATTCATTGCAATTAAAAAATAAACCCCAAAAAACTGCAGTGTGAAACCTCAGGAGTGGCCCAGCACTACCTCAAGGGTTAAATATAAAAAAACGAACCATCAAACAACAGGGTAAAAAAAGCAAGACATGAAAATAAGGCCACATGCCACCTCCAGGGTGGTGGTCTCGGGCAGGACCAGCCCACCCGCCGCCGGGTCATCACTTGGACAGGAGGAGGCCGAGCACCACGCCGAGAAGCAGCAGCGTCAGGGGGAGCACCTGCTCACACACCTGGTGGGGGGCCACCTGCGGGAGGAGGACAGGAGTGAGGGTCCTGGCCCAGTGCTGCGGGGGCTTCCGGAAGCTTCGCCAGCATCACTGTGCCCTCCACGCACGTGGTGACAAGCACACACAGATGAGGCTGAGGGGAAGATGGGCTGGGGGACCTGGGAAGCACACCTGTAGATGTGAAGGGGTCAGGGCAGCGAGACCCCAAAAACATGAGCTTGGGAGAAGGGCCAGAGGGAGAGGGACCCTGCAGAAGGGCCCAGAAGGATGGAACATGGGTGAGAATACACGTCCTGCTCTCGGCATGTGGGGGGACAGACACGGGGCCCCAGGACATTAGGAAAGTGACTTCACAGAAGACAGCTGCCCTGAGCCAGGTAATGTCGTAGTGAGGGTTAAAGGGTGTGAGCAAAGGTGGAAACGTGTCAGGGCCGTGGGCCTGGGTCTGCTGTCTCACAGATGAAGCATTTGGGACCTTAGGCACCAGGCAGGTGATGCTGAACAGGTGAGGCAGGGAAGTGAGGCAACAGGGAGTGGTGTGGACTGTGGCAAAGCAGAGGGGCGGCCCGAAGAGATGGTCACTACCCCTGATGTGGTGTGCACCGCAGAGCTGTGATGTCAGCTCCAGATGGCATTCTCACCCAGTTCCTGCGGGCCAGGGGTCTCCGGATCCACGTGATCCCCCTGAGGCTGGTCAGACACGCGTTAAATCTTCTAAAAACAGCCTTCACACCCGGCTGGACGTAGTTGAAAACGAAGCTGTAAGTGAAGGGGGGCAAGGTGGTCATTGCCACAGGAATGGAGGTAAACGGCTTCCCCACCCAACCCGGCCCCTTCCCTGGAGCTCACCAACGAGGTCCCCCACCTCGGGTATTTCCTGTTCACAAACTCCTATCAAACCCCTTCTTAGATAAGTCCATTCCTTACAAATGAGCCAAAGGGCCTCCATGTGCCATGCTGGCCTGCCTGCCCGCCTACCTGGCTGGGGTTTGGTCAGGATGGCACTCTGTCCACAGGCCTCACTGTCCGCTGGTCAGTGTGGAGAGTGGGCCTGTCCTCCAGAGGTGGGTCCTTTCAGCGGAGTTGGGGGAAGGCACAGAGCCAGGCTGGCTGTTCAAGATTTCACGTCACCAAAAAGCTGTTCCAAGTCCCAATCCCAGGACAATGACCGTAACTTTGGAAACAGAGTCCCTGAAGCTGTCTTCAGTTCACACAGGTCCTACCAGAACAGAGTCCCTGAAGCTGTCTTCAGTTCACACAGGTCCTACCAGAGTGCACATGGTAAATCTAATCCTGTCTGACCAACCAAAACAGACCTACTCACAGCCCATCATGACTCCTGCCAGGGCTGCCAGATTCCTGAGTCTGTAAATCCTGGTGGGGGCAGAGCACCTCACCGCTCTCCCTGGGAGCAGCTGGTGGATTCAAACCACAGCCCCTTGGTTAGCAGCCCCCACACACTACGACACCACGGCTCCCTAATCCTATACAGCAGGTGTCCTTAGAGGTACACGGGAAGATCACGGCACCTGTAAGCCATGAACACCTGTCCAGGACCCCACACGACACGCAAGGAGACACAGACCTTCCCCTGCAGAAGACAGAGGCCACTGCACGGTGACCGTATGGGGCAGAGGACAGCAGCCCTGGAGGTGGCCAAGGCTGGAATCTCTGCAAGAACAACGCTGTTTCTCCTGCAGAGCAGCCGATGGATTTGAACCGTCAACCCTTCAGCTAGCAGTCAAGGGCTCAACCACTGTGCTCAGGACTCCTTGGAGAAAGCGTGCTCCGGAACACAGAAGGGCGGCCAGCTGTCACTGCGCTGACTTGCGTGCTGCTGCGACGCTGTGAGCTGCCACTGGGGTTTCAGGTCTCTGCAGAGTCGCCCCTGAGGGCAGGGGTCAGCAGATCTTCCAGACGGAGATGAAGGACGGAGACCTGGCGATCTACCAAAACAACTGGCCAGTGGAGACCCGACGAGACGAGAACACTGGTGACTGCAGGAGGACGTCGCCAGGTCAGGGGGCCTGAA